ATTAGAAGTATTGAAACAGAGGAAATGAGAGTGGTAATTTTGGAGTTCTGGCTGCTTGGGAGGACTGGGAGCAGTGTTTTGGATAGCCAGAGGGCAACAAGGTGGCACTGGGTAGGAGAACAAGAAAATGGGGTTCTAAGAGGCTCAGAAGAAGGATGGAAAGACACAAATAACAATTTGCAAATCTTAGGGGAGGGGAGGGACCCTGATTTTTCCTTTCTTGCCAGAGACAAAATGAAATGCAACCTTATAAAATCAGGAGATAGGATAGAAATAGCTAGTATAATAATAATAGTCATAATAATAAAGCATGTGCCTTGTGCTTTATTCACATTTAATCCTCATAACAACCCAAAGACACAGACACTATTATCTCCAGTTTACAGGTGAGACAGGTGCTGTTAGCCTAGTGTTGGGTCTGCAGAGTTTGGGGTTGCAGGTCAGAGAGGACAGGGACATGAAGCAGTCTCCTTTCTAGCTGAAAGCCTTCCACCTCCCATCCTGAGGTGTTTGGCCTGGGAAGCAGAGGCAAACACGATTGGGCGGGTGGTGGTGGTTTTGGTCACATGTAGTATACATGCCTTCTGCTGGGGGAGGGGAAAGAGGAACATTACCTGACATCACCCATGAGAGGATGTGAATATCCCCCACAGCTGTGGTCTGTCTATAGACTTGGATTTTAAAGTAGGAAGGAACAGTCACTGTGTAGATTCTGAACTTGGAGTCAGAAAACTCAGGTCAGATCTCACTGGATAACCTTTTTTTTTTTTTTTTTTTGAGACAGAGTCTTGCTCTGTCGCCCAGGCTGGGGTGCAGTGGCCGGATCTCAGCTCACTGCAAGCTCCGCCTCCCGGGTTTAGACCATTCTCCTGCCTCAGCCTCCCGAGTAGCTGGGACTACAGGCGCCCGCCACCTCGCCCGGCTAGTTTTTTGTATTTTTTAGTAGAGACGGGGTTTCACCGTGTTAGCCAGGATGGTCTCGATCTCCTGACCTCGTGATCCGCCCGTCTCGGCCTCCCAAAGTGCTGGGATTACAGGCTTGAGCCACCGCGCCCGGCCTGGATAACCTTAAGCAGGTCAATCCGTCTATCTGGGCTGCACTTTCTTCAATTATAAATTGAAGGTGTTGGACTCAAGTTAAATCTCTGAGGTCCCTTCCAGCTCAAAAACTGTATAATTTGCGAACCTGGTGGTTGAATGTGACAAATTATGATCTCTCTCTCTCCCACTGCATATGTTCCAGAGCGTGGTATTTTGGGTATAAATATGCCAATGTCTGCTGTCTTTATGTGTGTGTATTCCAGCTATATGACTAAAACTTTAGTTGTTTGTGGGTAAACAAGGGATGCTTCTTGGTTTTCTCCATGAGAGACCAAATGGCTCTGGGTGGTAGTAAACGAAACAATCACTGACTCAAGGTATGATGGGAGGGCAAATGATCCAAGAAATGGTTTTAGTCTGTAATCATTCTTTGGCAGTTATTTTTGGTTTTTTATTTTCATTCTTTTAAAAACCAAATCCAATTAAGTCTTGACATCAACCCTGTGAAATGGCACAGGTTTTTATAGAAGCAGAAAAATAGACACAGAGATGAAATGATTTGTCTAAAATCACACAGCCTGTGAGGGCCAGAGCCAGAGCTAAGATCTAGGGCTTCTGACCCTGGCTTGTATGTTCTTCCTAGGACTGAGCCAGGTGTGAGAAGAGACCCCAGCATAGAACACTCAGTCAAAGAGGTTCTGGTTTCTAGGTAAAGGCAAAGACGAGAGCCACTGGCCAAAGAAGGCCAGGCCGACTGGGCCACGCTACTCCCATCTCTGCAGTTTCCTGGCTGAAGTGACATTCTATTCAGAGCAGAGCCTCACAAGACTTACAGATAATGGCTATTTCAAGAGCTATGAACTGTGATTAGTTAGAATGTCAGAGGGCCATGATAAGAAGTGAAAACATTCTGTAGCCTCTGGCAAGATGCGAAAGGTGTTTACTAACTCTTCTCAGAACCGAATTTGCCTTCTTTCTCAGGGCTCACCTCTATGAAGCAGGGATGCAATTTCCTCTCGGGTTGTTATGAGGATCCAAGGAGATAATTAGGTAAGAGCATCTTAGAAAAGCCTCACTCACTTTTGCCTGTTCATTCAACCAACCAACATTTATTGAACACAAGAAGTGTGTTAGGAACTGGAGGGAATACTAAGACAAATAAGAAACAGGGAGTTCAGAATCACGTTATTATCTCCCCTCTTGCCTTCTTTCTGTATCATGGTTTCTTCTTGTCTAGGAACATATGAGGGAAGATGGGCCCTGTAGTCTTGTCCAGTTCCCTAGCTAAGTGCTTCTGTCCCAGGGAATTCTGAGCCCAACCTCCAGGTTACATTGGATCAGCAGAGTGCCCTCAGCTATAGCTCATTCAACAAATCATTCATTCACTTACGTGAGCCAGGCATGGCTCTAGGTGCTGGGGATACAAGGTCCCTGCCCTCATGGAGCTGTCACCTGGGGAAGGCAGCTTTTTTTTTTTTTTTGCCCAGGCTGGAGTGTAGTGGCATGATCTCGGCTCACTGCAACCTCCACCTCCCAGGTTCAAGTGATTCTCCTGCCTCAGCCTCCTGAGTAGCTGGGATTACAGGCATGCACCACCACACCCAGCTAATTTTTGTATTTTTAGTAGAGACGGGGTTTCACCATGTTGGCCAGGCTGGTGTCGAACTCCTGACCTTGTGACCCACCTCTGTGCCTGGCTAACAGCAGCTTTTAAATCAATATGCAAATAAATATATGTTCACCAGCTGGGCATGGCGGCTTATGCCTGTAATCCCTGCAATAAGGCAGGCAGATCACTTGAGCTCAGGAGTTCAAGACCAGCCTGGGCAACATGATGAAACCTTGCCTCTACCAAAAATATAAAAATTAGCTGGACATGGGAGTGCATGCCTTTAGTCCCAGCTACTTGGGAGGCTGAGGTAGGAAGATGGCTTGAGCCCAGGAAGTTGAGGCTACTGAGCTGTGATTGTGTCACTGCACTCCAGACTAAGACCCGGTCTCAAAAAAAAAAAAAAAAAAAATTTATATATATATATATATAGGTGGTAAGGAGAGAGGAGTAGAACCCAGTTTAGAAGGCCTCCCTGAGGAGGCCTGAAGCTGACATCCCTGAAGGATGAGAGGTTAAGCCCTCCAGGCAGAGGGAACAACATGGTCAAAGGCTCTTGAAATGGGAGGAAACACAATGTTTTCAAATAACTAACAGGAAAGAGGAAAGTGGTGGAGCAGAGCCCAGAGCAAGCAGGACAGTGGTTCCAGAAAAGATTGGAGAGGCAGAGGCAGGACCATGCTGGGTCTTACAGACTGAGGCAAGGAATTCGCTACAAGTGTACCTCTAATGCCTTCTGCTCTCTCTACCCAGTGCTGGGGAAGAAATGCGCTGGTTTGTTCTGCTAGTTCTGTCCTCCCATGATAGTCATGAAAGCTTGGGGGTTAAAGAAATTTGGCATGAGACAAACCACCAAAAAAATTATCAGCTTCAGCTTCTTTTTAGGTGAGTAACCTCTATGGACTGGGTGGGTGATGCAAAGGTCTTCATCCCCTCTCCCAGCACTGATCACAGGCCTACAGAAATAAATTCATTAATTCAGCAGTCATCATGTCTGCTGCAGATGGACTCCTTAGTTCATTTGCTTAGATGGTTCTTGAGGTGGAATACTGATTTACTACTTAAAACCTTCAAGGGGGCCGGCGCAATGGCTTACGCCTATAATCCCAGCACTTTGGGAGGCCAAGGCGGGAAGATCGCTGAGGTCAGGAGTTCGAAACCAGCCTGGCCAACATGGTGAAACCCCGTCTCTACTAAAAATACAAAAAAATTAGCCAGGCATGGTGGTGCACGCCTGTAATCCCAGCTACTTGGAAGGCTGAAGCAGGAGGCTCACTTGAATCTGGAAGGCAGAGGTTCCAGTGAGCTGACATTGCGCCACTGCACTCCAGCCTGGGTGACAGAGTGAGACTCCAGCTCAAAAAAAAAAAAAAAAAAAAAAAAAAAAAAAAACCTATAAGGGGAGGGAAATGTGCACAAATAACTGTAATAAAAGGAAGACAGTGATAAAAAGCTACAAAAGGGTTAATAGATAAGCATTTTCCAACTAATAAAGCTTTTTCTACTACATGTTACAGGAGCCATTCAGTGCTATTGTAAAGAAACCCAGCACTACAAAGTAGTAAATTATAAGTGATGCAAACACTACCTCCTGTAGAAACTCATGGGAAGGGAGGCCAGGTAGAGGCATGCTCCCACACCTGCAGGTGGGCATACAAATCCTCCTTCTGCTACCTTTCCGGAAGAAATTTAGCAATAGAGATCAACAGCGTAAAAAAGAAAAAAAAAATCATTTCGATCCAATAATTCCACTTCCAAGAATGTATCCTTAGGAAAAAAAATAGAGATTTGTTCAAGGATTCCTGTTGAATTTTCCTCATAAGGTTATTACATTATCAAATAGAAATAACTGAAACACCCAAGTTGGGTTACATTATGGGACATGCTCATGATGGCATCATATTTAACTTAAGTTTTTGAAGCACGGTAGTGACTTTTGGAAAAGGCTCGAGACATCGTTTTAATGAGATGTGCAAACTCATCATTACAATATACTAGAAGAAATGCTTTGACAAACTAAGTGGGAACAACTGGGAGAGTGAAGGATGGAGTATCAGGAACAGGGGCATACGAGTTGGGTCTTACAGGTTGTGGAGGTGTTTCCAGGTGGAAGGGAAGGAGGGACGGAGCGGAGAGCCCTAAGTCTTGAGGACAACTGGGAAGGTAACACACCTCTTGAGAAGGGCATGCAGCAGCCATACCTCTCATCCGCCACGGTCAGCAAACCCATTGTGTTTCCTGGAGTGAGGTGGGCCATCAAGATGGGTGGTGCCCTCCTGCTGGAGAAGAGGGGCTCGGCGGGAATCCCTGCCCCAAAGCCTGGCAGCAACGCTCCTCCGCTGCCCTGGGCCGCAGGCTGCTGAGCCCTCTCGCCTCCCTGCGCGCGAAATAAGTCCCAGGGCCAGTGTGGCCTCCCCACCCAGTGCTTCCGGGGGCGCCAAAAAACGACTTGCCCTGACCCGCAGCGTCGGCGCTGCGCGCAAGCGCAGTCAGCTACTGGACCCGGCCGGTGTGAAGTTTCACACCCAAGAGGATGAAGGGCACCTACCTGGCTTAACAGAACGACTCCCAGGTAAAGGGCCAGACCCGGGTGAGGAGTCGGCACAGGGCCAGAGGTGCCCTGCACACTCAGAGCTCTCCCTTTGAGCTCCTTGCCTTGCTTGGTTCTCCTGGGCCGCAGGCCTCTACCCTGCGCTCTGGGGTTCTGCTGCCTGTTCCTTGCCAGGTCTTTCCCACAGCAACGCCTTTTCTCTTCCTTCTCGAGCCCCTGAGTCCTCCTCCTCCTCTCCCCAGTGCCTCACCTCTGAGGGACAGAAGTGGGGTGGTTTGAGAGCAGGAGACTGAAGGGAAGAAGCAAGTCCGGGCCTAGCTGCAAGCACTCCCCGCCCCCGCCAGGCTCTTGGACACTTGACTTCTGTTAGGCCGCACACGGTTTGATCTGAAGTGTTTTTCTCTTAATAGTTGTGGATCAGCCAGGCTCGATGGCTCACGCCTGTAATCTCAGCACTTTGGGAGGCTGAGGTGGGTGGATCACCTGAGGTCAGGAGTTCAAGAACAGCCTGACCAACATGGTGAAACTCTGACTCTACTAAAAATACAGAAAATTAGCCGGGCATGGTGGCGGGTGCCTGTAAGCCCAGCTACTCGGGAGGCTGAGGCAGGAGAATCGCTTTAATCCAGGAGGCAGAGGTTGCAGTGAGCCCAGATCACGCCATTACACTCCAGCCTGGGTGACAAGAGCAAAAAACTCTGTCAAAAAAAAAAAGAAGTTGTGGATCTTTCTGATTCCTGATCCAATCTGTTCAGGCTGGGGCCGCCCTGGTCTTTCAAACCCGGCAGTGAGCTTGGACAGACCCAGAGGTGTTTACTCCAGGTAGTAGAAGCGCTAGACAAAATCAGGCTCTTTTCCTGGTTTAGACCTCTCCTAGCTTACAGCACCTTAGGATGTGGGATGTCTGGAGGTCTGTGTAGCTGGAGGACGCTGGGAAATGTGAGGAGAAGATGTTTCCTCCTTAAAATCTGAATGTTTCTGATCACCTGAATTCTCCTCCTAGCCACAGATCCCACTCACTGTTATCTTATCCTTGTCCTTCTGTCATCATTTACCTGCCTAATCCCTGAAGGTAGTGAGTTTCCTGTTACTGGAAGTGCACTTCTCCGGGCCCTTACTTGTAGAAGTTCTCACAGATGCGGCTTCTCCTCTGGCTCAGATCATGTCTACCATGAACGAAGCAGCCCACCGGCTATCCAAAAGTGGGACGAGCCTCTATGCAGTGCTGGAGCTTAAGAAGGGTGCCTCACCTGAAGACGTCAAAAAATCCTACAGGTTCAGACCTCAGTCCTTTATTGATCCTTGGAATTTCCCCCTTAAAGCCTTTTTCTTTCTGTATCTGTTTTGCTATCTGACTCTTCTTCTTTTTTTTTTTTTTTTTTTTTTTTTTTTGAGAGAAAGTCTCACCCTGTCCCAAAGCAGAGACAGAGACTGTTGAGCCTTCTGAGAAGCTGGGACTACAGGCGTGCACCACCACGCCTGGCTAATTTTTGTATTTTTAGTAGAGACAAGGTTTTGCCATGTTGGCCAGGCTGTTCTCAAACTCCTGACCTCAGGTGATCTACCCACCTCGGCCTCCCAAAGTGCTGAGATTACAGGCGTGAACCACTGTGCCCGGCCTACGACCCTTTTTTTGTTTGTTTGTTTGTTTGGAGACAGAGTCTCGCTCTGTTGCCCAAGCTGTAGTGCAGTGGTGCAGTCTCGGCTCACTGCAGCCTCCGCCTTCCTGGTTCAAGTGATTTTCCTGCCTCAACCTCCCGAGTAACTGGGATTACAGGTGCCTGCCACCACGCCTAGCTAATTTTTTGTGTTTTTGGTAGAGACAGGGTTTCACCATGTTGGCCAGGCTGGTCTCAAACTCCTGTCCTCATGATCCACTCACCTCAGCCTCCCAAAGTGCTGGGATTACAGGTGTGAGCCAATGCGCCTGGCCCTATGACCCATTTTTAAGTTCCAACAAGCCCTCACTTTGAGGCCAAATGGGGCCATCACCCTCTTCATTATAGTACGGGAAGGAGTTTAAACCTTGGATGCTTGCCTCCATCCTTGTACCACATCTCATGCATTCCTTCTGCACTCTCTAGAGACTAATCCCTGTCATTGATCCTAAGCCTCCTTCCCCAGCCATTCCCCATTGCTTCCCCACCCTCCTTTTGGGTATCGCCTGGGTAGGAAACTGGCCTTGCAGTATCATCCCGACAAGAATCCAGGGAATACTCAAGCAGCAGAAATATTCAAAGAGATCAACGCAGCTCATGCCATACTGAGCGACCCTAAGAAGCGGAAAATTTACGACCAGCATGGCTCATTGGGAATATATCTGTATGATCACTTTGGTGAAGAAGGCGTCAGATACTATTTTATTCTGAATAGTTGTTGGTTCAAGGTACACAATTCTCTAGGTCCCTTAAGAATAAGGAAAGAAGGGTGACCTTCCTCTCCTTATGACAAATGCTTCTGTTGTCTCATTTTCTGGGTGCCAGGAGGATTGAGGGAGGGAAGCTTGAGCAGTCATATAGAAAACTGCTGGACTGAGGCCATTCTCGCCTACCTTTTAGACACTTGTCATCCTGTGTACACTGCTCACTTGTTGCTGTTTCTGTTGTTGCTGCTGTTTTTGCTGTGGAACACTTAAACCACCACCTGAGCAGGATAGTGGGAGAAAATATCAGCAGAACGTCCAGAGTCAGCCTCCAAGGTCAGGTGAGAACTGTAAGCAGGAGCTGTGAGGTAAGAAATGCCTGGATTGGGAATGAAAGAAATGATTGGGGTCAGGTGTGTTGGCTCATGCCTGTAATCCCAGCACTTTGGGAGGGCGAGGCGGATTACCTGAGGTCAGGAGTTTGAGACCAGCCTGGTCAACATGGAAAAACCCTGTCTCTACTAAAAATACAAAAATTAGCTGGGCATGGTGGCACCTGCCTGTAGTCCCAGCTACTTGGGAGGCTGAGGCAGGAAAATCGCTTGAACCTGGGAGGCAGAGGTTGCAGTGAGCCGAGATTGCGCAGTTGCACTCCAGCCTGGGTGACAGAGCAAGACTCCATCTCAAAAAAAAAAAAAAAAAAAAAAACAAGAAAGAAAGAAAAGAAAGAGTCTGGGCACGGTGGCTCAAACCTGTAATCCCAGCAGTTTGGGAGGCTGAGGCAGGCGGATCACTAGGTCAGGAGGTTGAGACCAGCCTGACCAACATGGTGAAACCCTGTCTCTACTAAAAATACAAAAATTAGCTGGGTGTGGTGGCGGGTGCCTGTAAACCCAGCTACTTAGGAGGCTGAGGCAGAAGAATTGCTTAAACCCAGGAGGCAGAAGTTGCAGTGAGCCAAGATCGTGCCACTGCACTCTAGCCTGGGTGACAGGGTGACAGAGTGAGACTCTGTCTCAAAAAAAAAAAAAGAAAGAAAGAAAGAAATGGTTGGTGATGAGAAAGACCTGTGAAAATGGCAGGTTAACCCCTAAATATGACAATTTCAAGTCTGGCACTGGGACAAAGTGAAGAAAAAAAAAAGATTGATACGTTTCTGTTCACCTTACATGACTGACTGACAGTTTGAATGTAGTGTCAGCTCCTGTTAAGCTAAGGAATGGGGTGGGAGAGTGTGTCTAGAAAGGACAGTAGGTGAAGACAGATTTGAGGATGCAATGTTTGTTGTTGTTGTTTAGTTGTTGGTGGTAGTGTTGTTGTTGAGACGTAGTCTCAGTCTGTCATCCAGGCTGGAGTGCAGTGGCACCATCTCAGCTCATTGCAACCTCCGCCTCCCGGGTTTAAGCGATTCTCCTGCCTCAGCCTCCCGAGTAGCTGGGATTACAGATGTGTGCCACCATGCCTGGCTAATTTTTTATTTTTAGTAGAGTCGGGGTTTCGCCATGTTGGCCAGGCTGGTCTCCAACTCCTGACCTCAGGTGATCCACCTGCCTTGGCCTTCCAAAGTGCTGGGATTATAGGCGTGAGCCACTGTGCCTGGCGGGATGCAATTTTTTCCATCTACTCAAAGGAAGGGCCAGTTGCAGTGGCTTGTGCCTGTAATCCCAGCACTTTGCGAATCCAAGGTGGGCAGATCACTTGAGCTCAGAAGTTTGAGACCAGCCTTGGCAACATCATGAAACCCAGTACCTACAAAAAAAAAAAAAAAAAGTCAGCCGGGCATGGTGGTGCACACCTGTAGTCTCAGCTACTGGGGAGGCTGAGGTGGGAGGATCACTTGAGTCCGGGAGGTTGAGGTTGAGGTTGCAGTGAGCTGTGATCATGCCACTGTACTCCAGCCTGGGTGACAGAGTGCCACCCTGTATCAGAAAAAAAAAAAAAAAAGAAGAAGAAGAAGGAAAGAAGGGGGGGAGGGGAAGGAGATAGGGAGAAGGAAGAAGAACAAGAAGAGGAGGAGGAGGAGGGGAAGAGGAAGAGGAAGAAAAGAAAAAAGAAAAGTCTGAGATCATTCCCACCCCAAATAAATTTTTACAAGTGGATTGAACTTCACACCAGTGCCACCTGGTGATGCTAATGAGTAACTGCAAGGTAATGGTTTTCTCATCAGTACGCCACAAAAAGTTACTAAACGTTTATATATGTAAACATATATATAATTCCATCATAGGAGCCAAAGGTGATTTTAGAAGAGAGGAAAATAGCGAAGATGATTTTTAAGAGATAAAGAAGGATGAGGTATGTAAACCGAAAGGCAGCAATAGTTATCAGATAAGAAAAGCATGTAAGCTAACTTCAGATGAGTCATTAGTAGAAAGTTTACATCTTTACAGTATGGACTATGTGTTTATAGCCTTACATGTGGGGGTTTGCTTTAAGTTCTAGGTAGTTATTCCTTCTGATTAATAAAGGGCCACCTTCTTCCGCCACTAGGTGCTGACCCAGTGAGAGTGCCTTCTGCTGCCCAGTCCCCTGGACACATTGAAGAGAGGAGCACGTAGCCCTGTCCTGACATTGACCCTGATTTGACCCCTCTTCTTTTAAGAATCTCAAGAATCTCTTCAGAAGCATTGATGACGTTGGTCCCAGTAAGGACATCACCTCTGCCCTTGGCACCACAACTGTGTATAGATTTTGCCCAGCTACTCTTCCTTTTTAGTTGCAGTCCCAATTTTACTCCATCAGAAAGCTGCCCTCCCATGCCTTCCCTTACGAGGTCTCAGGCAGTGGTGGCAGATTTTTCCTGAAGAGACTTTTTCCTGTGCCTGCCTTGTTATTGGAACCAGTGCCAGCTGGTAGGGTCCCTGAGCCCCTTGTAATATCACCACCAAGAGCCTGATAACTGAGCAGGGCGGATCCTGTCCCTGGAGCCGCGGCACCAGTTAACTCTCCCTTGCTGCAACTCCGTGTACCAAGAACCCCTAGCATCAGCCTCATTCCTAAGCCAATAATGCCTTTATGGAGCTGGTCTCACCTTCTGGTGCCCACGGCCATTGGCATTGCCAGCCTCATTCCATGCCACTATGAGTCAACTCAGGAAAACTGCGAGTGCATTTGAGGCTTAGGGGTAGTCATTCCATCTTTAGATTCTCCTTGGACTTCAGCTACCAGAACAGCATGCATTAGCCTTGGTCCTGTGGGTTAACTGAAGTTCAGACATCAGTGCCAGCTTGCCTCCATCCTTTTCACATCTTATGCAGGCCAATTGACATATAATTTGTTCTCAAAAATAGGGGCATGAAATATGTGATCCGGAGAAGATTGCACTTTCTGGACTCTTTTCCCACTCTTGCCTCTTTGTGCTGCTGTTTCGTATCCTCCTCACACCGTGTATTTCCTACCCACTCAGGGTCACTACCTACTAACTCCTCAGACTTCTCTTCCTGGACTGGGAGAAGGGCTAAAGAATGGCGGTAAATAAAAGAGCTTTTGTCCAATCCCAAGGCATATTTTGGACCCAGAAAAGACAAATTGTGTCTGGGGTGGAGGAAAAAGGCCTAAAGAAATTGCTTCTTGGCTTTTTGGCTAATATCAAGTGGAGAAAAAGACCTGTAGGAGAAAAAGAAGACCAGTGCTCACAACTGGGGCGAGCCTGGCTTGGAGAGGAGGAGTCCTGGACAACTGTGGAGCTGGGGCAGAGGTTTCCTGGAGCCTTATGATTATGACTTTGTCAGTGCTCTAAAATTTCCCTGGAGGTTGATTCCCTGGGTGCCCAAAATAGGTCCCTGGCATTCATGTCCTTTCTGCCCAGCTCACCTTCTCCCAATTTCCTAACAAATTTGAAGTCCTTGGAGTGGCTCCAGGGATGTGTTCACGAACCAGAATCCCACATTTCCTCGGGCGCATGCTCATAGGTAGGTCCAGGCCTTGGCACAATACTCATTTCTAGCCTCTTGAGCTTCATTTCCTAGGGTGATATAAGAAAAGGCAGGCAAGAACAAAAATGAGCCAGAGGTATTGGACAGGAGGCTTGATGGAGTCTCTGGAGCTGCTGTTCTGAATCACACAGTCTTGAGGAGGAGGACCAGGGTCACTGGCTGAGCCTGTGGAGGAGGCAACTGCTACTGACTCTAAGTCTGGCAAGATCTTTCCTCCCACCCTGAGCTATGTATGGGTGCTTCTCACACAGGCAGATTTAGATTCTGTGTCACTGTCCTGGAAGAAGGGCCCAAGCCAGAGCAGGGGTCCTGGGCTCAGAGGAGCCTTCAGAGTGAGAGGGCAGCACCTTTGCTGACCCACCTTTCACCGTAAGCAGTGGTGCTTGCCCCTGCCCTTGCTCAGGGGAGTCACCCATTCCTGAGTGAGTCAGGGTCACTCACTCCGTGACAGCTGTGGCTCGCCTTACATGAGCTAAATTGGGAATTGGAATGTCATGCAGATGCCCCTTGTCTCCCCACCCCCACAGTAAAATTAATCTCCTCTCTGGGGAGTAAGGGACAAACAGTGCTACCCACAGAGTGAACAAGAGAGAGTCATTTGGGAAACAAAAGGAGGACTTTACAGAGAGAGAGGGATAGCTAAAACTACGTGAGCCTGCCGAGGGTGCAGAGCAGAAAGTGGAGACAGAAGTGTCTGAAGACTGCTATCTGGGACGAGACAAGTTGTTAAAGGGACAGGAGAGAGAGCAGAGCTATTTCAAGAGTGAGCCACAGAAGGGAATCCACAGGCCGTCTGAGTGAGGAAGGGTCTACAGACAGTGAGTGAAGGCCAGGAGCAGGACCCAAGCCAGGGTAGGCACAACCACCGAGGGGATGAACTTCACCGTGGGTTTCAAGCCGCTGCTAGGGGATGCACACAGCATGGACAACCTGGAGAAGCAGCTCATCTGCCCCATCTGCCTGGAGATGTTCTCCAAACCAGTGGTGATCCTGCCCTGCCAACACAACCTGTGCCGCAAGTGTGCCAACGACGTCTTCCAGGTGGGCGCCAGGGATGGGGCAGGGCCAGGTAAAGCAATGCAGACCTGTGGGGGACTGATCAGGTCAGAGCTAAGACCCCAGAAAGTGATGGATAGAGTGCTCTCTGAGGTAGGTGGTGGCTGTTGTGGCTGGAGAGCAGAAGGGCTGGGGTCCAAGCAAATCCCAGAGCAAGCATGAGTCAGCAGCTGCCCTGCAGGCTGGCAGGTACAGCCTGTCCATAGACGGCAGCTGGAGTGCTGGGATCTGCTGAGGAAAGGAGACCCTGTGGAAACTGGGAGGGAGGGGATCCTACACCAGCCTTTTAAGAGCCTGTGCCAGACTCTGCATTCCAGTTTGGAGTTTCACACTTTGAGAGCATTGCGGAAAATACGGAGAAAAGATTAATGAGATAATGAAACATTAAAAAACAAACAGAAAAAACCCAACCCTGTGAGAAAGCTCCATAATGGCAGTAAAACGATTCGTGTTTAAGGAAAGTTCAGGGCATCCGTTGTGGGGGACAGAGTTAGACGCAGTGGGCAGGAGACTGGGAACTCTTCCCCAACTTGAGTTCATACCTGTTACCTCCAGATTGTTGAGTAAAGAGGCCTACTGGTTCAAAGCTATTGAGGTCACTTGACAAGCAGAGAGAAGGCAAAGAAATTTACTTTTAGAAGTCTAGCCAGTTTTGGTTTATTTGTGGTCATGGAGCCAAGCATAGCTAATCAAATTCACAGATACCATTTTAGCCACTGGTTTAGAAATAAAAGCTGCATATACCAGAATGGATTATAAGTGGGCTTTTTTTTCTTTTCCTGTGCTACCGGGGAGGTTCTAGTAGGCTATGAAATGGAACAGAGATCAGGGAGAGTGAGGGGCAAAGGCACACACACACACACACACACACACACACACACGCGGCCTTGCCGATTAAGCAAAAGCCCTGAATGTGGCCGGGCGTGGTGGCTCACGCCTGTAATCCCAGCACTTTGGGAGGCGAGGCCGGCGGATCACGAGGTCAGGAGTTCGAGACCGGCCTGGCCAATATGGTGAAACCCCATCTCTACCAAAAATACAAAAATTAGCTAGGCGTGGTGGCAGGCGCCTGTAGTCCCAGCTCCTCAGGAGGCTGAGGCAGGAGAATCACTTGAACCCAGGAGGCGGAGGTTGCCATGAGTCGAGATCATGCCATTGTACTCTGACCTGGGTGACAGAGCAAGACTCTGTCTCAAAAACACAAAAACAAACCCTGAATAGACCAGAGCTGGCTTAGTATGTGTGTCAGTGATACGGAACATCCCAAACAAGTATTCTTCAGTGTCAGAAATGATGAGGAAATGTGTTAAACACAAGGGATTTTTAACCTAACCAAGAAAATACTTCCCTCTTAAGTTCCTCGGGGCAGCTTGTTTGGGAAAGGAATGGACTGGCTAGGTCCCGCCATCCCACGATGTACCCTGTGACCCGCCCCTTGTATGTCTGCTGTGTGTCATCTTCACTGAAGACCAGCACTCTGTGGTCTCTCCTGCCATCTTCCCATTGAGGCCCATTCCCTCTCCTATTCTTTTATGTGTCCAAACCTGCCATTATTCAGCTCCAGAGTATCTCAGAGGCAGTAGATTTTCCGTCTCGGGGGACCCAGACCAAATGCTATGCCTCCTCATCCTGTGCATGAAGTCCTGCATGAGAGGCAATGCTTTGCCCACCATCTTGGTGTTTCCTTGGTCTGAGGAATTCCGAACATCCTTCAGGCTGAGATGCCTAGGAGGAAATGGCGGAAAGATTTTGCCATCATTTCTCATGAACTGACAGTGAAACATCCTCTCACTGGAACTTGAAATGCGTGAAAACAAAGAGAAGTTTTGAAAGTTAAGGTGACGTGTCCTATAGAAAAGTGGTCAGAATGTCCAAGAGCATTCCTGGGTGCCTCTGTCGTCTGGCAGAGGGGCCCAGGAGCAGTCCCCATACATGGAGGCTAGAATGTGTTCAAGTGACATGCTTGTTTAAGTCAACCCTTTCTACCCAAGCACACTGTTTCAGTTCCAGAAAGCTCTGGAATACTGATCTGGGCTCAGAGAGACCTTGGAATGGCTTGGGGCAAACCCTGTACAGAATATTTGGAGATAACGTGATACCCAGGGCTTTGGGGTGGCCCTGTGGGTCTGGAGTGATGTGTGTCGTTTGAGGTGCAGAGCAGCCCTGGCCCCTCCAAGGAGGAAGAGTGAAGAGCTCATCCCTTGCTGCTTATTTGGGAGGGCCTGGTGGGAGGCTGACCCAGTTCTTCAGCTGCACTCAAGTCTGTATATCTCAATATATCTCAGTAGATCTCCCTCGGAAAGATGAGCAGATTTAGTTTTTTCACACATTGCCTCCACATTTTGACAACTGTAGGCATAATCAGATTGTCTGTTTTCTAAGTATGGGGCAAGAATAGGACTTTTGGAAAGAATAGGACTTTTCCTCTATCTTCAAACCACTTAGGAAGAATACCCTTAGAGTGTTGCCTAGAAAGTTAACGGTTATCAAAGCGATACCAGTATATCATTTAGAATTTGTAACATGTAAACATACTGTTTTCAAGCAGTGTAGGGGTTCATATCATGAAAAGCAAATCTGCTATTCACCTCAGACCCTCAACTGTCTTCACCAGATAGAAGCAACTATTACCAACTTTCTTGGGAATACTTCCAGAAAATTTCCACAAATCGGCACATGTTTGCATGTGTATATGTTCTCAGGCGAGACCCATCGCCCCCCACCTGCCTTTGTTCACGTGCTCCCTGTGGGTGATTGTCCGTATCCACCATTCAGATTTATGTCTTCCTTTTTAAATAGCTGTGTAGTTTTCATTGTTATGTCTGGACCACAGTCTACTTAATCTGTCCTCTAAAACATTTAGATGGTTTCCCGTGTTTTATTGTCCTAAAAACTGCCGTGATGGACAGCAAACAAGAGTTTTTGGGAATTGCGATTTTATAAGACCGAGTTAACTAGAGAGCCAGGAAGCAAAATTTGAAAACAATTTATTTTAAAATAGTGGCTACATGAGATGGCTCACGCCTGTAATCCCAACTCTTTGGGAGGATGAGCCCAGGAATTCGACAGCAGCCTGGGCAACATAGTGAGACCTCATCTCTACAAAAAAGAAAATACTGTTAGTTGAACAGTATTAAGGGGTTGGGAGGAAATCCATAATCTTACCTCCCCAATACAGTTATTTTTATTTTTGCATATTACTTTGTTTTTTGTTTTTGAGATGGTGTCACACTATGTTACCCAGGCTGACCTTGAACTCCTGGGCTCAAGTTATCTTCCTGCCTCAGCCTCTGGAGTGCACACCACCAAGCCCAGCAATTTTTGCATATTACATTCAAGCCCATATCCCCAAACATTTTTACATAGTGGCCATCTTAATGTAATTCTTTTTAGAGCTGTAACAACTCTTTCTCTCTGAATTGAAACAGAATGAAACACCAAGACACCACATTAACCCCCTCTAATTTCTTCCTCCTCCTTTCCCCACACTTGCACCCACTCAG